TACAGCTCAGGAATATCTGGCTTAGCTTTAATTCAGTTAGTTCCAATAAAGACAGCAGCTTCCACAGAGATTGTATAAATGCCACCAGGAACCCTGTTTTTTTTCCCAAACTTCAAATCAAAGAATCCATGCTCAAACTGGCATGTTACACCTACAGTCACCAAAATTAGCAATGTTACATTTGTCTTAGGTTGGGGAGCACATATTTGTGAAGGATAACAAAGCAATTTGCAGTTTCAGTTCCACAGAACACACCAAGGCAATTTAACAGCTTATTTGTCTTAGCACACAGATCTCCTTCACTGCACAAGTTGAAGCTACTACAATACACAAACAATCATTTTATAATTTTTTTTTTGCAGTAGAACATGAACAAAAGGTCAGATGGTAAATTAAAAAGTAGAAAAATAGTGATAGTGAAAAATATACCTTATTCTCTTGCATGTCTCATACCTACAAAACTTTGAGCAGATTAATCCCCAACAGCCAGGCTGGATGGGGCTCTGAGCAACCTGGTCTAGTGGAAGGGAGGTGGAACAAGATGATCTTTAAAGTTCTTTCCAACCCAAACCATTCTGTGATTCTGTACTAAGTGTACCACCCCCTGGAAAACTGCCAGGAACCCTCAGAACTTCACCTCCATTTCAGGAACACAGAATATGCTCATTTACTGACACTAAAGTGATAAAGGTTTAAAACTAAACATGCACATAAATAGTAGGTAAGAGTATTTTAAATTGACATGGGCTCAAGTTTTCCCTCTCAGGCAGGGCTGCAGAACAGCATGGACTTATTGCCTGCCTGGACAAGGACTCAGAGGAAGCTGTTCAGCCTTCCACCCATGTCATGGCCAGCAGGCACATACGTACAACAGTGGCCAAAAACCAGTATGAATAGAGCCTGGCACAAAGGGGAACACAAAACACTGGAGAAAGACATCAGGCCACACAAAGGAACCTCAGCACAGCAAGAGGCAGTGGGTAAACTATTCTGACTTCTGTAAAGGACAACTCCTGTGGGCTCACAGACACAGAACTCCTCTCCAGAGGGAGAAAAGGCTCTCCTGCAACAAGCCTGTACCTGGATTCCCTTGGTCTTAGCAGCCCCTATTGCAGCTGCCAACCAACCAGTGGTTTCCCCAGAACTCCTCTTCCTCATCTCCTTCTGCTCAAAGGAAGGTGTGTAAGACAGAGAAAACCTCAGATTTATAATACAAATTCAGTTACAACTTCACCTCAGAGGCTGCCACATGTATCAGAATGGCCTGTAAAAGCTCGGACCTAAAGAACAAAGGCATGCAAAGCAGACAAATTAAATTTAATTTTATTATGGAAATGAAAGCAATAACAGAAGTGACAGCAGGGTGGATGATAAGCTCACTTAGCAGGGGGATCAAATGAAGTGATGACATGTCATTATGACCTCAGGGGTTAAAGATGCAATTTTCCATCTGGCTGCATCTGGCTTTTCAACAGAAATGTTGACACCACCTGCCGAGATTTACCACAAGCTGCCTCCATAGGTCTTTGTCGAGCCTTTGTTATCCAGGTTAACATTTACTTCTCCCTCTTTTCTGCTAAGTTTTGCTGAGCAACATTCTCCCTTTCTCCAAAGCCCAGTAACAGTTAACAGGATTTACATGCCAGTTCATACAGCAGTTGAAATTATTAATAGTCACCTCAAAAGCAGCTTAAAGAGAAATACTAGAAACCTAGAAAGCAGGTAAAACTAGCTTTAAGATTGCAAACAGGAAGGCAAAATTTTAGCTACACTTGCTAATATCTTGACTAAGACATTTGGGAATCTATTTTTCTCTTAGTACCAGGCACCTGATTAAAACAATTTTTCTGAAAAAGAAAATAAAATCCTTAGCATTAAAGACCTAGTTTGTACTCCCCATACCCAACTGACTATTAGCCACCTGCATGTGTTTTATTCAGCAGCTTAATCATTTCCAATTCCAGATACACTGTGCTTAAAATAAATCAGCTCTTGCCAGCCCAGTGACACATTCACTTATTCATCTAATTTCCCCACAGCCAAACCATGATCTCAAACCAAATTTGTAATCAGCCATTGACACACTGCTGGCTGTAAGGTTTTTGTTTCCACGTGGAATATTTAAAAGCTAGTACCTACCAGGGGAGTTCCTCTTCATCTGGAACAGGACTGTGTGCTTACTGCCACTGGATACATCCATTACAGTTCTGCCTCTACCAAGCTTTTTTCCTAAACCTGCATCTCCCAGACTGTTCTCTGCCAGTACAGGTGAGCTAAAAAGTTTGCTTCCAGCTGTTTTTAAAGTGACCAGATTCTTCTTTCAAAAGAACCTACAGTCTGTTTTAACTGTTTATTAAAAAAAAAAAAAGAGGCCCCAACCTCCACCAGGACTTGGTTACATACCAGGGAAAGACGGGAAGAAAAGGAAAACCCTCCGTGGATTTTGAGAGTGCTCTCAGTTATGAAAAGACAGGAGGAAATGGAGACAAAGAAGCTTCCATGGAGCAAAGAATAGCCAAGGAACAAAACAGAAAGTATCCAGACCCACTGGAGATGAAAATAACTACATTGAAAGACCATCACAAAAATACCTATGAATACCTTCCCCTCACAGAACTCTCTCATCACAAAGGCAATTATAGAATCATAGAATGGGTTTTGGGTTGGAAGGGACCTTAAAGCCCATCCAGTCCCACTCTCTGCCATGGGCAGGGACACCTTCCACCAGCCCAGGTTGCTCCAAGCCCTGTCCAACCTGACCTTGGACACTTCCAGGGCTGGGGCAGCCACAGCTTCTCTGGGCAACCTCTGTGCCAATGCTTCAGAGGGAGTTAGCAGAGGGATGTTATAACCTTCTTCCCCTGGAATGGAAGATGCACCACCCTCCTCTCCAGATTCCTCACCCTGGGGAGCTGGGAACCCTTGTCCTGAACAGACAATTGGTCGCCCATTTCTGCATCTGTCAAGGTATTTTCTGAATGACAAGTGAACTTTTAGTTTTCCCTTCAACATAAAGGAATAAAACAAAGTGTTCCCATTCACTTTGCACATGCTGAACTTAAAACATGCTTCACTGCTAAACTGAACAGGAATGACTTCAGCATATGCTTAAATGCTGTCCTGATTCAGACCTAAAAATAGGAATGGTTTCTGCGGTTCCTCTTTCTCCCACTCTGCTAATGACAGACAGCTATTGTGCCCTGTCACTCTGACAATAAGAGAGCTTAATTGCCCTCTTTCCAGCAGCTGTCAGTTCTGCTTAACTGGGACATAATGTGAGAGTCTGGGAGGAAACGTGTTAATCTATCAGTCACTTATAGCTACTGTGCATTTTCCTGGGCTGGATTTAAAGAAAACCCTGGGGTTTATGACTGACTTGATAGACATTATATTCATTGATATGGGCAGCAGTGATATTACTGTCTTATGACTCATTTCTTTGTGAAAGATCCATGAAATAAGTATCTCCTTCTTTATTTACTGCACTTTTTCATCTCAACTTCAACCTGAACATGAATTTCCCCATACTTGGGGAATTTCCCACACCTTTAAGGTGTGGCCAAAAAAGGCCTCCTCAAATATGACAGTGTAAAATGAACTGGCTGATCCTGGAATTAATGAGGATTGATGAATCAGAATGTTTGGAAACACCTGTAGTTGCTTTAGAGTGTTTTGTGCATTGCTATTTACAGGAACACAGTCACTGAAAGCACACAGAGGAGAATAAGAATCAACATCATCTACAATGCATAATAAGCAGCTATAAACTGAGGGTCTTTAATTCTCCAAGAAGTTCTGATAAGGTCACACCTAAACCTACAGCCTGTGCAGGCTCAATTCTCTGTCACATTCCCCTTTCTGATCATAATTATTACCAATTTCCCTCTATATCCCCTCACTGCTCCTTGTGTCTCGTGCACTGAAGTTATTTCTCTCCCACACTCTCTTGTTAAGTTGTGAACTGAAAAGCAAAGACTAATTTTAACCAGTTTTATGAGTCTACATTTTGCTACATTAACCAGTGTGAAAATGGCATTTTTTTGTGTTTACATCAGTAATGCCTATTCCAACTCACACCTTCTTTTGTGGCCCTTCAGAGAAGGCTGCGAAGACATAAAAAGGAAGGAAGAAAATACAAAAGCTGTATGGAAAACAGAATAAATCTGACAAGAACAATATAAAGCTTAGTAAGATTTGAACATGCAGCTTGCTTTAATCATTTAATCCACTTTCCACTGTTTTCCTACCGACACTCTTGGTTTTAAGCCATTAAAACATGCTGATACTGGAACCAGTCTGGCTGCAAACTTCCCAAAACTCTGGAAATAAGCCATGCTGACTCTGTTGAAAGAACACAGGTGAGGCACAGAAGTGCTGAAGTGCAGGGACTTTGCCTGGAAGTGGCAGAGTCACTGTTTCCTCTCAAGTGAAGTGGAAGCCAAAGCACATTGTCAGGGAGAGGGAGCTGGCAAACAGCTCCAGGGGCAGGAGCACACAGTGCATGGAGATTTGTGACACTTACTCTGGTGTTGATAATCAATTGCTACAACTGCTACAGCCCATAAATCAATGTTTCATACAGCTGTCAATGGTCTGCCTGTGCTGTCAATTCAATTCAGAACTAGGAGTTATTTCTTACCTTTATCCTGAAGTTATATAAGTGATATACAAGCTTTTTTCTTCCTGAGAGATTGCAATAGAATGAAAATTCTGCAGAAGCTGTTTTTCCCCCCAAAAAAACCCCTATTAACAGATTCACGAAAACTCACATTTTTATTTAAAATGCAATTCCTCCCTCCTTTCTCCAGTCATGTCACTACATAAAAAAATGCACTGAATATCTCCACAAGAATAGCTGGACAGACACAGCTACTAAATGAAGAAGAGCAATCATATTTCCACGTATAGGGGACAGAACTTCTTTTTACTCTGCTGATACTTGTTCACAGATGAAGTATGCTGAAAACATTACCCACACCAATAACTACTGAAGAACTTACTTGATTTTTTGAATCCAGATGCAGTAGTCTGTAATGAAGAGATCATTAAGGATGTAGGCAGGGTCACTCTCCCTGAAAATCTTGTGAATGTCCAGCAGACACTTCAAAACTGCAGCTTTTCCTGGAAATAGATTTTTGGTTTTGTGAACCACTAGAAATCTTAATAGATCATATTTATCATCATCTCACCTGTGAGGCTTTAATAACCACGGTATCTACAACCATCCTGGAACTTTAGAGTTGAATCACAGGCTCAGGACAGCAGCAGTGTAACCATGTCCCTTGGTATCCACATCCCTCTGAATTCAGTGGGAATCTCTCTGCAAGGCTAAAGCCTCAAGGCACAGTCATGCATGTAATTCTCCACAGCTGAAGGAGCCCCTTCCCCCAGCTTTTCCACTTCTCCAAGCTGTGCTGTCCCAAACTTTGTAACAGGCACAGAGTGCATGGTATTTTGACCAAAAAAAAAAAAAAAAAAAAAAGAAAGAAAGAGTAAACTGAAAAGTAACTCACAAATAACAAAAAGTTATGCCCCATCATTTCTCTGGAGGAAAACACATTTCCCTTTATGCCTCCACAAATACCTGTGCTGGAAAACAGCAAGGTTGGGAAGACACAGCCCTCAGCAGGGTCAAGCACATGGAATTGTGTGAGGCAGCATAATGATGCCCCTGCCCAACAGCTCACCAGGGCCTGAAATTAGGGAAAACTTTTCCTGCTTCTGACTAGTTAATGAATAATTTGGCAAAATGAAAGAAAAACTCCCTTTAGGCCCAAAAAAGGGTCATTTGACACGCAGATAATCAACTCAGTAAAAGATTAAAAACGTAAATGATTTATCATTCCACAACCAGAAGGCTTTCTGTTGTCAGTTTGATTTTTCCTTCATATGCAACAATCCAATTAGCTGGAATCTCCTCCCTTAGTTTTCTGATTACAGTTGCTAAAGGGTTAAGTGCTGGAACACTTAAAAAAAATTATTTTCGCTGTTTAATGGGGGAAAAAACCCACCATATTCAAATGAAAACAGCCACTACTGCAAATGGAATCTAATAACCCTCTCCCAAGAGGCTGGCTCCTCCTAGGCTATGAAACCTGAACAGGGATGAAATTACATTTTACAGATTTAGAAGAGCAGGGGGGAAAAAAAAGGAGGGGGGAAAAAAAAAAGGAAAAAAAAAGATCAGAACTCCCCCTGCTGTTCAAGCACAACATTTGTTTATTTGTTTGTAAGTAATTCCATGCTGCAAAAACAGAGACAGAGAATGAAAGTTAAAGGATGAGGAAGATGGCAATAAGGAGAAAGAACAAAGAGTAATAAGTCACGGCAAAGAACTGAAAAACTCGCTGGTTTGGGAAACCTACTGAAGAAATCAGGTCAGAAAACAAAATCCCAAATATAACTGATAACTTTTAGACTGCATCCCCATCAATGCTTGTCAAGCCAAGCTTGTCAAACTTCACTATTTTGACTAAAAAGAAGTGAGCTCTTTTAAAAAGAAATGATATGTGGAATTAAAATCTTGCTAATTTTCTCAGGTTCCAGCTGTCAAGCTGTCAGCCCAAAGCATTTACAACATCCACTCCTGCTACTCATCTGCCAAGAGACAACGCACAGCAGTGAATATCACACTAATTCTCAATTAAAAAGTCTTTCTTCATAAATTAAAAGTTTTGGATCCAGGAGCTTAATGGGTCTCTAATTAGAGAGGCTGCAAATCTTGCCAGACATGGACTAGGGAATCCTGAGTCAAGGCAAACACAGAGCACAGCAAACTACCAAATGTCTGCTTTTAGAGTGTGAGTCCATATGATTTAACCCAGTTTTTGCATCTCTTCTGTGTGAAGTCACAGCTCTGCATTTAACTGATCAATAAATACCCTGCTTTTTATGTGCAGATACTATTTCCTGATTATGCAAAAAACCCCAACAGTTTTAAAAGCACAAATAAAAAGGTCCCAACATCTGTAACAGAAAATCCAGAGCAATTGTCTGCAGATCACTGGGCTGTTCTGGAGTTCCTTGCTATGACAGCTGCTACCCCACAGCCTGCAACTTGAATTCTACATTTTCAGAAAGCCAGTCCTCTTTTCACAGACTATTTAAAAAAAAAAAAAAAGGATGTAATTTGACCCCAGCTCTGTATCTGCCATTTGATAGAACAAATTATACTGGTTCTACACCATCATGAAATTCTACCACCTTTGATACTGGGTATTTGGAAGCAAAGGAAATTTAAAGTCACATATATCTATTTTACATTATTTTTCCTGAAGAGTTCTGTACGTTTTTCCACATTTTCAAGGAGAAGCACTGATCTAAGAAGATACACTGAACTTTACTGTTTCATTTAAAAGAGAGAACAACAGGATGTTTAAACACAAGAAAAGAACCCTGAAAGGCTTTTAAATTGAAACATCCTGGTAATAACTTACCCAGTTAGGCAACAGTACTATCTGTTTTTAATGGGCAGTTGTAGAATTGTAAATATATTAGTGTCAGGTTCTGCATGAAAAGAAGCAAAGGATATTTCATGTTGCAAAAAAGAGCCCAAATGAGTTTTTATTACCAGCTCATAGATGACAACTTCAAAATCACAGAATCAGAGGATAGTTCAGGTGGGAAGGGACCACAATGGGTCACCTGCTCTGGCAGGGTCATGGATGTACCACTGCCAGCTCATTCCCTTTTTCAATCCTACCCAAAGAACAGATAAATACAGTCAACAACTACGTTGATTTGAAACAGTTTTGTGAAGTACTTTAAGTACCACAGATCACTAGAACAGCATATGAAAAAATCTGCTGAGAACCTCAACATTAATCAGCTCTATGCATTTGTCTTACAATTAAGACTTTGGCAGGAAGTCTTAATGCAAAATAAAGTGTTTCAACCACATGCAAGGATCCTTAATAGCTTAAAAATGCAGTATCCTGTATCTTGGAAGTGATCCACCAACACAGGACTAATTTTTTTAAAGTCAAGTAACATAACTTGAGGCATTCAGTGCCATCAGAATTCTTTAGTATTTTAAAATATATTAGTTTACTGTGCTTATTATTGGCGAAACATTGCATTATACCATGTCCCAGCTTCTGTCAATGGCATCCTGAAAGAAATCTCAAGTCAGGAGAGGTCAATTTAAATCAATTCTTCCTTTAAGTTAAACAGCAGTCCTTGAATCTACATGAAAAGCAAGTTTTGTGTTACTATTTAATTGAATTCATTATCTGTTATTGATTTTTACCTATGTCACTCAAACCCATATAACAATACAGTGCCAAATTGGTGATGCATCATTTCCAAAGAGGGTAACAGAGTATTTAATGTTATCTACACTTAGTCTGATTTGCATAGTGCATACTTTGCTAAGTATTTTGTAAAAACAGAAGATCCCAAAAGAACGGTTCAAATACCACTGAAGACTGAAAGGGGAAAGTTTTTGACTGAACAAATGTGTCTTGGTGGTACAAGCATTACCTAAACCCCTATTTCTTTTAACAATACCTACACATACTCTCTTCCCCCACCCTGCTTCTGACTACAGATGGGTAACCCATCCATTTGGTACCTTTCCAATTCTTTGGCAGTTGGCTCCTTAAAAAAGCCCAGCACTTTTCACACTCTACAGGCACCATAACAGTAAATACTGATCTGATACACAAACTTTCTGAAGTTCACATTCATCACCATTACTTTCATCACTACACTGCCCATGCCACTCTCAATGGATTTATGTCCACATGAAGAGGAATTACAGAATGGTTTGGGTTGGAAGGGACCTTAAGGACCACCAAGTCCCAACCCCTGCCATGGGCAGGGACACCTTCCACTAGCCCAGGTTGCTCCAAGCCCTGTCCAACCTGGCCTTGGACACTTCCAGGGATGGGGCAGCCACAGCTTCTCTGGGCAACCTGTGCCAGGGCCTCTCCACCCTCACAGGGAAGGATTTCTTCCCAACATCCCATCTAACCCTGTCCTCCTTCAGCTTAAGGCCTTTCCCCCTTGTCCAATTACTCCACACCCTTGTCTGAAGTCCCTCTCCAGCCTTCTTATGTGCCCCCTTTAAGTGCTGGAAGGGCCTCTAAGGTCTCCCTGAAGCCTCTTCTTCTCCAGACTGAACAACCCCCAGCTCTTCTCAGCTTTTCCTCATCTCCCTTACCAATTCTGTTGGATCACTGAAAGTTCGCTGCAGTACCATTTTCCATCGTGACATTGAAAGAAAAGCAAGTATCTTATCTCTCATGTACTATCCTCCTTAGAAAAAAAACAAATCCAAAAGGCTGACAGCACTGTATCATTGCAGTTTTGTTACCAGAATTTTATTTTTTCACATGTATGGACAGCAACATAAGCCAGTGGAGATAAGTGAAGAAGGACAGCATCTATCTCCCCCTTAAAACTTCACTACCTGACTGCTGTAATGTAAATAGTATTTTGAATCAATAGTTTTTGGCAGTGGTAGAGATGAATATTGTCATTTGTGTGGGTTTTTAATCCTGCAATTGAAAATAAACCACTGAAGTGTTGCTTCTCAGTGATTCTTCTGTCCAAAAAAATTAATCTTAACCCTGAATGTGGTTTTTTTTTTTTAAAGTAGTAACTCAGGATAAATAGAAAAGTTGCAAGTAACTTTCATAACGCGAGATATAAACATGGTTGTGTACAACTGCAAAACAGGAGCTGGAAAAGCCATAGGCTTGAAGATCTGTACTGTCACAGGAAAGCTGTCTGGGATAAACAGGGAATATACAAAAAGAACATCACTGCTGAAGGAATAATTTGCAGTCAGTCAGATGCCAGTTCCACTCCTCAAGGGGAAACAAAAAGCTACAAAAACATGGTGTACAGCCAGTTTTTTTATTCTTTGGGGTCACCTCAACCATTCTGCCTTAAACCTGCAAAGAACTGTAACACTGAGTAGGAGCCACAAAAGTCCCCCTTCTCCTCAGGTGTGTGATTCTGCACAGCAACACTGAACTGCCCCACACCATGGAACACCTCAGGAATACAGCATGTGTTATCTGCTGCCTAATAAATTAGTTGTTTCAGAGGCTTTCTACTGCTAAAGGCACTCTTTTTTTTTTCCTCTTCTCTCCACAGCCCCATTTTCACAAAACCACCACATGTCCAGAAATGTTGGTATTTCAAGTTTGGGTGAAACTGGCCAAAGGATTCAAAATTATTAAAGCAAACAGACACACAAACAAGGTGGCTCTACAGGCATCACTTCCAACCCCTAAAACACTCACCTAATTGCAGTATCATGGCTGTGTCACTGAAGGCACGTGTCACTAACCCAAAGTGTCTGTACAGGGGGTAGCACAGCACTCTTCTTCCAAAAGATACCAGGACATCATGGATGCAAGTGAAGCTCTGTGTATATCAGTGAAAAAAATCTGAATTAGTCTTTGTGCTTGTTTGTTTTGCTTTAAGGAAAAAAGTCATAGCAGAATAGGAGCAAAAAAAGGTAAATTTTTATATATTATGCCTCTAAAAAGCTGTATTTGAATAGATATGGAAATCAACATGTTAAACAGAAACAAGACACTGCACATTTGGTTTGCATGGCAGGATGACAGAAGTCCTGTACATTTTAGTGGTTTTGGATTAAAAAAAGAACGTAGAGAACATCAGAATAAAACATCTACCTCAAGACTTTGCCATCCTTTAGATTAAAGCAATAAATTACATCTGTCTCACATTATTATATATATTAAGGAGAAGCTATAAAAAGCCTTTTAAAAATAAAGAAAAATTAAATCCACATGATATTAACCAAATACATGTGTACATATAAGATCTTTAGAAATGATACATGACTCTGCCTTCCATGAAAATTACAGATATTCAAGACAAAGATAAATATACCTGCTTGGGGAGAGCAGTTCCTTGTCCTCCTTTATGAGTGAGGAAGACCTCTAATTTACTCAGGCCAGAGGCATTAAGGTGGTATTAAAGACTTTTTTAAAAGAGTGATTTTCTTCCCAGCTCTCACTTTTCAAGACAAAATACTCCATTTATGAATTCAAATAAAAATACCTATTTCATCTTGAACCCTCAATTTATTAAAATTAATAAAAACGCTTTGCTGACAGCCAGCACTTCTCTGCACCATGACTACCTCAACCCATTTTTCATTTTAATGGATGACCAGCAAGCATTTAAATCATTTATGGTTTGTGATTTAATATTTAAAGGCTAAGGTGTGTGTACATGTCATGCCCAGCAAAATGGCAGCCAGTTCAAACAAACCAGAGCTCAGGCAATTTTGTTTACAGAATGATGAAAACACCCACCCTACATGGTTTGTATAACAGAGATAGTTATTAACAGCTTGGTGCCAGGAGACTGAATTTTCTGAGTATGAAATAGACAGTTGGCACAGGCTGCATCAAGAACTGCTATATCATAAGGACATGCAGAAAACCCCTTTACTATGTTAGGACATGGATCTGAAAGAGATAAATCAGGAATTGAGGCAATCAGTGCATTTTAAGTGCACTCTTTTGTGACCTGCTACTGCAGAATTAATAATAAAAGATCTAGAAAACCTGTTGTCAGAATAAGTTATTAGTGAATGTAACATTCACCACCACTAGAAAACTTCAAAGGATGAAGCCAAAAGTCCTGTCAAATTTCAGTTTTGATCCTGCAAACTGAGACTTGGCTCAGTAACTTCAGGAATGGGGCTGGGACAGTCCTTCCCAGTGTGCTGCATCATGACAATGAGTGGATTACAGGCCATCCTTTCCACTGCCAGCTCTTTAGCAACTTCTTTACACAGCTCTGGGTACACTCAGGGAACAGTGTGAATGTGGAAAGAGCAGAATTCAGTGTTTCCTCTAATCTGTGCTGGCTTCAAAGGGTGAGCAGCAACCAAACAGGGATGTGGCACTTGGACGTGGTTTAACAGGGAACAAGGGGGTGGTGCTGGGATGATGGTTGGACCTGATGACCTTAAAGGTCTTTTCCAACCTTTATGATTCTATAAATAAGGCTGAAAAGACAAGGGGCAGGTAAAGCAACACATATCCACTAACATTCAATACTGCAAGAGTAAACTTTGCCCAAAAGCAACATAAAACACCCATAAACCCCCAAGTATACAGCAAAACCACATAACACAAAACTTTAGTTTTGCCTCACCTCCAGCCAGCACAATGTTGCACTCAGTTTCCTGATGTTCCAAGACGATTCAACCTAATTTTAAGAGAAGACAGTAAAATAAGTGTTATCTAACCCCACACTCAAGACTGCTGGCAAACTATTTAAGATAACATTCTGGCAGCAATTTAAGAACCTTTGTGAATAAGCAGCAGTAATTACATTACGTGCATTGAAATAGTCACAGGACAGCATTAAAAATTATATTGCAATGCAGATGTTGGTTTTCATACTGGGAATATTGAGCCCATGCACAAAGTCTTTGAAATACAACAGCAATGCACAGAAAAACAGTATTTTAGTGGAATTCTGTCCCTTTGCACAAAGCAACAGAAACTTGAATCAACAAAAGCCAAGCTCAACTGCCTTGTTTCAAGAAAACAGCTCAAGACTTTTGGCTTTGGGAGAGGGTCCCAAAGCCAGCAGTATATGTAAAATGTCATTATTCTTAAAATGTGACAGATTCACAGTATTTGTGTGCAAGTGTGGTCTAGTGGGATGATTAGGGCAAAAAGCCAGAAAGCCTTGATCTGTAATCCTGGCTCTCGTAAAGATTTGTGTGGCCTGAATGTCTTGGTTTTCCTATTAAACAGGAATAAAAGAAAAAAAAAAAAAGAGGGTGAAAAAAGGACAAAACCCACAGTGTGTTTTCTGCATATCCCATACACTCACTGCAAACCAAATAAAGAATTGTACAATTGTGTTCCTGGCAGATTTGCAATTTTGTGCAGCACTAACACACAAAACAACAATCCCAGATTATTCTGTTGAATGAAGAGGTCTGGACATTTTTGCTTCTCTTTCTACAAACCATGCTCTCCAAGCCAGTCTGATTAAGATAGAAGAGAATTTTGATTACATGTCCCAATATTTTGATTAAAAGCATTCAGAAAACACCTCACTGGTAAATACCAGCAGAGGAGATTCAAGGCTCAAAGCTGTACTTGGGAAGCAAGTCCATTTCCAAAAGGGCAAGTTATCAACATAACAGTATACAACAAAAAAAGAACAATTATTTTGTTAAATTTCCATTTGCATAAACCAAGACCCATCACAACCCAAATCAGAAACAAACAGAATTGTCTGGAATCTCCTGCAGTTCCACATCTCTCCTACTAAAATGCTGCTGCAGAAGAACACAAGTATTTTGAAATCCCTTTAATCCCCACATGCATCCCAACAGCTCAATCCAGAGATACAAAGTCCTTAATTTAAAGTCAATCATATATTTTTAATGCTTGGAAGAAAGTTCACTTTAAAAAATAAGTTTCCTAAATGGCAGGACAGGGTCCAGCACTAGGTTCCTAACACATATTTTTATTTTTTCTAACTTACATTTTTGTCCCCTTCATTGACACAGATCTCATAGCAATATGCCAGGAGGATATCAATTAATCCAAGATATACATGATGACGGCTCCTTTTATCCAGCAGGTAAGATTTATTTGTGAACTTTCTGAGCTGCTCTCTCTCTTCCTCAGAGAAGACAACTATAAAAAGTAAAAGGATAATTGATTATGAATTTAAAGCTGGCACATTCATTTTAATAGGTGGTAATACTACTTGAACAGTCTCTTTAAAAAGGAGCATGTAACTAATCACAAGTCACTCATCACTCAAGCAAAAGCCTAAATCATTCTTACTTTCATTTTAACTTTTATTAAACTCTGATATATTCCTTTCAATGTCAAGCTCCAGCCCTGCAGTCTACTGCATGTACACACTGATGATTTGGAACCTCTCAAAGTGCCAAGGATTTCTGCCTGGATGCACAATCGGAAGCTGAGTAAGACGAAGTTTAAGTCCACCTTGTGTGGGAGAAATAAAAGAAGACAGGATAAAAAGACAGATGTATTTTCTTACTGGAGAAAAAGGTAAGAACTGAAACAATAGGGAAGGGGAAAAAAAAAAGTACAATTCTGTTTTCCAAGCCTCATCCATTTTGACTCATGACCTAGGCATGGTTTAGGATCTTTGTTGATGCCATCTGAGAACATCCTTCGAGTGTCTGAGGGAGATCTAAGGGATCAAAATCCTATCCCCACCAATAGTTATGGAAGCTGCATCTCCTCCCAAAGAGCTGTGGCATCCCCCATCAGTGACCATCAGACTTGGTTTATCTTCAGTGCACCTCCCTTAGTTAAGAGTGGCAATACTGAGCCAAGTCAAAGAATCCTCTTGCCCAGTACCTTCTCCTTTGGGAGGCACAGGGAAGGTGATAACACAACAGGAATGCTGTGACACTGCATCAAAGGATTTCCCTGACAAACAGGGGTACAGACACAGATAGCACAGATTGGACATTGAATGCTCACCCTTCTGTACTTAAAACACTCCAGCAAGGATGGCAGAGTTACCCTGGAAGAACAGTGGAGGTTAAGCAGAGAACTGAGTAGGAGCCACTTCTGTGCCAACCCAAAGGAAACCAAGAAGCCACTTAGAACAATTAAAACTGCCAGAAGCCAAAGCCAAGAGATTTCCATCCAGGCTGCATGGAACACTGGCATTCCCTGCCCACAGGCTCTGATTCACTCAGTAGGACTGGCATAGTGAGCACAGTCTGGTCACACCACAGCAGCAGCTCAGTGTGTTCACAGATCTCTCTCCTCAAATGTCTTACACAATCCACAATCTCTGGGATATAATCCACTGGTAAGACTGCTGGATTTATCCACTGGTGGTCTTTATCCCAGGAGCTTTCTAACTTGATGACATGTTTTGAAACAAATGTTTGTGATGCCAAAGGCATGTACATATGCAGACATAGAATTATGCATTAGGAGGAACATTTTTGAATGTTTCTACTGTATGAACTTTTTTAATATTTCTATCAGCTTCATAACCATGAAATGCTTGATTTAAATTCCTATGGAAACTTGTTGATGAGCTAAACATTACTCTAGAGTCAAGCCAGTCTCCATTTATTTACAAGTTCCCACAAAAAGAAATTCCAGTTTTTGTATCATCTTGACAAAGCCAATCTCTTCCACTTGCTAAGATCTAGAAAGAAGTGACAATTTAGTAAGACTATGGCAGTTCTAACTCTGTTTTTCTGTCCATGCAAAGCAGCTCTGTATTACACTTTATATCACTAATAGAGGTGATGTATCTATATTCTATCAGTACATTTCTTTGTAAATTGATGCTTCAGTATAAATGTGAACCCTATTTCTCTTTTAAGGAGAAAGCAAAATAATTCCAAGTGAAGTTCATGAAACATGGGAGTAAAGTTTTCTTCCTTTGAAATGTAAACTCTGAAGCATCATAACATCTACAAATGGACCATAAATAAAGAAATTCCAAGTTTACTAAACAATGGCAAACAAGACACAGACTAGAGAATTCCCAAAGGTAAATGATACATGATGTTCATTAACTCACTGCAAAGTGCCAGGTGTTCTAAATATCTCTCTGGAGAAAATAATGTTACAAATAAATATCTATCCATTCCTTAAAGTTTTGAATTATCCAGGCCTGAAACTCATTATTCATCATCATCATGGCTAGGCTTCATGAACGCAGATTTGGGAAGGACTCTACCCACATTTGCTACAAAACTCGTAATTAACACATCCAAATCACCAACTTCTTGTGTTTTCCCACTTCAAAAGCCAAGTACATGGAGTAAGATGAACAAGGGAAATTGTAATTTCACTTTCTGCTGTATTAAGCCTGTGCACTTCTGTACACTTGCATTACCAACATTTTAGTTAATAGTCTGTACAACAATTAATATTAATCTGATGCAAAGCAGAAGCTGCTGGTACTTATCAAGCACTAAATTTGCAAGTTTTCTGTAACTTTGACTTTACATTGCTTTGTACATTTGTCAGTGGCAAAACCACCCTTCTAGCCACAGTGAAACTGTTAATATATGCAAGCCTAAAGGACTGAGACAAATTCACCTCACAAAGTTACTGACAGATAGTCCTGCAGAGATCACCCTCACACTTTAATCACCTCTTTTACATACTTTAAACTGGCCATTCCTCATGTTAAAATAAAGATATTTCAAATTGCCCTTCAGACCCTGAGTGTCAATGAAGCACAGTTTAATCTCTGAGGGGAGGATGAGGTCTGACAGCCAGAGGGTGTTTTGTTACAGCCTTACTGGTATTTTGCTGCGATAACACCACTTAAATCACTGTAAGATCTGTATCTCCAGACCACTATGACACTTCCAGTGCTAAATGTGTTAGGGGCACTTAGATAAAATGTGCTATATCTGCACAGAGAGCTGACTCAGTGGTCAGATCAGGAAAGAACAGGTCAGGAAGGACCTCTGATAACCAGCTGTTTTTTGGTGAGAGCAGAGCCTTGGCTTAAGGTCCTGTCAAGTCAAGCCTTGAATCCCACAGCTCTCTTGAAAAAGAACTGAGGAGAACTGATCCCTCCTTTTTTTATGTTTTAAATTAAAATATTATTTTACCATATTGAGGTTTTTAAATGTGTACTTCTATCCCTGTAGGTTAAGGAATCAGCAACAGCAGATAAAGGAGGAGATTAGTCAGCAGAGAGAGGATTAGTCAGGAATAAAGTTAGTTATTGATATTAATCAGTAGCAAACAAGTCTCTTTACAAGCTCTTCCTAAGCCATTAAGAGATAAAAGGCAGCACTACTCTGCCTAGAAAGATGCCCAAAGGCTTTGTGCAGGATCAGCATTTTCCCCAGTGCTGGATACTGCCTTGAAAATACTTGATAGTAACAAACTTAAACAAGCAGCTGAACTAATGAAGCTGATTTTCTATTGATTTGTCTCTTGTGTTTGAAATTGTTGTGAGGTTTATGAGAGGTTACTGAACCTTCCCACAGTGCTGACATCCTGATAACCTCTCTTTCCTGTATGGACTCCACATTTAAAAACGTGGCACTGAATATTCAAGAAAAGCTCTTTCCCTTGTACATGGGGCCATTTTTGGAGAAGTTGCAGATGGGCCCATCTTTAGGACCCCCTAAAGCTCTGTCAGGGAGACCTGTGATCAGAAAAGCCTCAGTTTTACAGGAAGTGAACTAGAAGTTGTAAAAACACAAAGCTATCCTCCTGTGCACACCTGTATTCCCTTTAAACCATGATCAGTCAAGTCTGCTTTGTTCATCCCTCCCCTTTCTTTGCCTTTCTTCCATTAAAATTTTAGCTCCTTCACTAATATATTTTCTTCCCTGCACTTCTTGAATCAACATTTACATCATGTTTCGTCCACATCACTTCTGACCTTCTTCCTCCAGGCATTCTCCATGGAATCACTGGACTTGGACAGTCTCTCCTGGATCTCACACAATCTCCTTATACTAATTTTTCCCATTATTCTTAAAGAAACACACAGTTCCTGCAAACCATATCAAAACCATACATCATCCTTTCTTCTTACTGTTCTTGCCTTTTAAAACCTGAGGTACTTTACAGAGGAGACAGATCATTAAGGATTTTGCATGAATAAAAAGCAATCTTCCCTCACATGACAAATACCTGCTCTGCAGCAGAGCAGTGCCAGGAAGACAGACATGATGCAAAGGTGGCAGAGTAATTGCAGAAATCTGATAAAAAAGGAAAAATGATTCATCTTAAACTTATGAATCTACCAGTAATGGTATATATTTGAGCCAAGCTCTACTGAAAGGTGGATCTTTAAGAGGAAATTGCTTCTCATTCTATAAAGAAATAAGAGAGAGAATGGTCACAGGTTACCATGAACAAAATAAGATATCCTTGGAGCATATAAATGTTAGATTGAATACATATGTCAGCCTGAGCCTTTGAAGATTATTGTGTTGCCTAAAGAGGAGTTTTTACAGTTGTGCAACTGGAAGTAGAATAAAAATGAACTTTTAACCAAGCTGAATGTGACTGTTAGAAAATACAAACCCTTTCATCTGAAATCTGTAGAAGCAGGAGACACTGATGTAAACTTCAGCAGCAGCAAAAAGAAAGCTTTCCAAAAGTTTTATTCCCTCATGAAAAAGGCTGGGTAATTAGTTGGGCTTTATGGAATATTAATTGACTTGCATTAGACACTGTAAGTGTGAGCAAAATGGGCCAGAAGAGATGATACACAGTAAATTGTAAAAAAAGGACCAAAGAAAGAAGAGACACTAAGGACAAAAAAAGAATAAATTTAAAAAAGGCAAAATACACACACCATGCACACGAGCTGGAGAAAAAGGTCAAATAAAAATAGACTCAAGGTAAGGACAGAAGAGAGACAAAGACTTTAAATGTTAATGAGAAGAGATAATCCAAAAAGAAAAAAAAATCTGGTAATGAGACATTAGAAAAACCTGATGATGTAAAAACAGGGAGAAAATAACCAGGGATGAATATAAGAGCAGTAATCAACCAAAGAAAATCTTCAGTTAATTGTAATGCCATGCAAAAAATAAAAAATGCCATCTCTATTCCTAATTACTCCTTGCAGCCAAAGACAGAGACAAACGTAATGAAGGTTTTAGTTCCAAGAAAACACTGAAGAGAACAACTAAAAGGACATCAATATAAGTAAGGAAAAAGAAGAAATAAAAACTTATTCCATTCATTCAGTGTTTCTGAATAAGAAAATAAACATTTTCTAACAGCTTTGGAGCAGCACACGTTTAAATCAAGAACAAAACCTTCCTTCACACAGGACAGACAAAAGTTTCTGCAAGCTGGTCAGGGTAGCAGACCTGCCATGAGCTGTACATGTTTTAAACATCTCAATATTTGAAGTCTCTTTACAGGCTGTATGCTTGGAAGTCCTCATCGTGGAAGATGGTGGTAATGACCTTATTTTAGATGCTTTCCTTAACAGAAGAAATGAATTTGGAACTCAGGAAGAGTAAGTAATCTGGGTACTTTCATTTTATGCTTTTTCTCCATAAGCAATACAAAACCCCCTGCATCAAGGTTTCAATTCCTCTTTTTTTATGCCCTTAAACAAGTTCAAAAGTAAACAGGCGACATTTATGTCTGATTTTTGTAACAAAAAAGGTTTGACCTCCCACCTTCCTGTATACACAGGCTCAAAGAATCACCACACATCATACAACACCTTGGAACAATCTGCAACATGGACAGTGTTTGTGCCCTTAGAGCTTCTGTGCTCGAGTACCCTCTGGCTTTTTACAGCTAAGCACTTGTGTTCAAAGGCTCCTCACTAGGAGCACACTCCAATGCAGTGAAAGCCTCCTTATCCTTCTCCCTGTACAGCACACCCTGGCTTAATGCAGGCAGACTCCTCGGTTTTAGTGGAAATAACATGGGATTTCTCAAGCAGTAAAGAAGGTCCTTCACTTAACACAGCCCCTGTTCCTTTTATGTGCCTGTTCTGTCACCTCCACCCCTCAGGCAGGATGGAACACAGAGTCAGGCAGACGTGCAGTCAAACTGCACCCAGCTTGTAAGGATTCCTGGATCTGTAACTCAGATTAGCTGGACCATCCTTTGATTGGATGAAGCAACAAAAACCCACAGGGAACTCATCCTGCTGATGATCAGATTCCAGGGGGAACAGCCCAGACCCACCTCCTGCCCTTCTGTATTTCCATTCATAGACCTTCAAGTGGAACCTGCACTCCCTCTCATGGTGGTTTCCCTCACCACAACTCACTCAGGTTTAAGAGCCTCCACTGGTCTCAGTCACTTGCCATTCAAACAGTACAAATGTTACCAAAACTGAGGTCTTTCAAAGGGAAAGGGTGGGTTGTTCTCATTAACATCATCCAGACACCACATCACTTCTTTTGTCACTTAAATTGCCTCAAGATCCCCAAAACTACACGATCCTCTTCACTCAACCATATCTGACTCAGACCAAATCTTTTTTTTATCATTCTTATAACAAATGGTTTAGAGAAAAATTCCCTTAATGTAGCTGCATTTTCTGTGTAATTTTCATTAGCAGGTTTGCCAAGCTCTCAAGTGGTTTTTCTGTTGTTGCTGCCCCTAAAACCCAGCAACACACTGAAGAGAAACAAACCTATCTCAATTCGAAGGAAAAATATTCTTCCTCAATAAAATCAACCAGCAGCTCTTCATTTTAATGATATTCCTTAACACAGGCAAACAATAAGAGTGTTTCATTTACTAAGGAGTGAATGGATAGAAACAAACAAAAGGACCCCTCATTATTCTGTTTTGAAGCTTCTTTCTACCTTTATCCAATGCTTTTTAAATCAAATATTTATGATGGATATAATTAACAATTTCTTGCTTCAGAGGCTGAAAAGAGACCAGGAATGAAGATCAGATTACATTCACAGTAAAATACACAACATTTACCCAAATTCCATTGTTCTTCTCCTGTAGCAAATGTGAAAGTAGAGGTATTATTAGTGCACTAAGAACCTCTGGTGAAGGGATTATCATTATCTACTTTCAATATCAGATTTTCATACTACAAAGGAAATGAGCAAAGGACAATGGAAGAATATACAGAACAGTAACTTGCAGTGCTCTCTGCAATCACTGTGTGCAGGGAGGTGACCTCAGTTATCTGTTAACAGTGTTCTTACAAGGCCATCTACTAACCCTGAAAACATCCCTTTAGGTTTCTAAAAAGACACAATTTTCCTTCAAAAAAAGGCCGAGACCCACAAAAATAATAGTAAAGTAAAAAATTTCCTTTAAGAACAATAACCTCGAACATAACATGGCATCACACCAATTATCATTCAAGCAACAGGTGTGTGTGCATATATAGATAGATAGATATAGATATAGATATGCTTATATATATATATGCTTATATATATATATGCTTATATATATATATGCTTATATATATATATGCTTATATATATATAAGCATGTTCTCACCAAATGTATGAGTGTCATGTTCCTGATGACTTTCTCTCTGCAAGGCTGTCAGCTTTTTATGTGCATCAACCCACCAGGGTTTGTACTTTAAAACATGCTGAATAGCTTCATCTTCAAAAAAATCAGCTCTAGGGAAAAGAAAAAGAAAAGTCATATGCTATTTATTTCAGTTCATAGTGCATGTGGGTATATATTAATGCACATATAAAATACACCTCACTGGGCCCTGGGCTATTTTCCACACATTAGAGATATGTTCTTCGACTTCAAGGCAGAAAATAATCATTATTAAAAGCATAAACAACATTCTCTTATCTTACAGTATCCCTTCCTTACCTCCTCCACCTTCCCTGAGCCACCCAGAATCCCAAGAAATGGATGAGCTTGCAGCATGACACAAAGGTGAACAAACATGATTTGTTCTGGATGTATTAAAAGGAAAATATTCCAAAGACAAGGCTCCTCAGACAAATCATTTGATTTTACTGGGAAGCTCTCCCACTCAAGAACTAGGTATTCTGTGGGGAGGAAGGGTGTGCAGTTGAAGGGTAAACACAAAGTAGGGATGGACTTTTAGGTAAACAAGGACACAAAGCAGGAAAGTGGAAAAAGAAGAGTTGTATATGAATTCTGAAAGAGAGATTACATCCATCTCAGCACAAAGCCACTGTGGTAAAAACCTCAATGTAGTAATTCTGGGAGGATTTATACTAAAGGACTCAAGTTCTAAGCCTCCTTTTACCATATGAGCTTTTTCTTCGAGCCAAACAATGGTATAAATACAGAGAACTGAAAAAAACTGCAGGAAATTTCTTAAAACCTTCTTAATCACCACACAAAACCTGCCCAGTCTACTGAACACAAAATGTAATTTGCTTCACTCTCACACTGACAGATGTTTTTGTTGCCTTCCTTCAATGTCATTATAAAGTCACTCAGAGATATCAGTCAGTGTACACTTTGCTAAAAGGCACCAGAACACTTGTTTGCCACCATTTCTCCCAGAGCTTCTCTTCTTAATCAGGGTACTTGGGAAAACAACTTTTCTTGAAGAAAGGCTGGGATCATCTGTTCTGAAGCAACCAAAACACAGCCATTAAACTAAATGGTGTAACTCATCTACCAGGCCAGAACACAGAGTCTAAAGTGGAAACTTAGAATTACTGTAATTTGCATCCCATTATAGGTTAGGAACTACTTCAGTTCTAGTGAAATGTACTTCCAAGTGATATTTCCAGAAAGCTGTTCTATTTTCTGTGTGCTACAGAAAGACAAGAGGCTGCCTCTGAAACACCCAACTGGGGAAAAACTCCAGGTTTGCAAAGATACCTTCTGAAAAATCTCAGAGTGGGTAAAGCCTTCCTGACCCCCACAGAACACACCAGAGGACTAATTCTCCCTACTGAGGACTAAACTCTTCTCCCACCAAACTCATCTTGCAGAAATCAATGTATATTAATAGATCTCATGGCTCCAACTTATTTTATTTACAGCTTCTAAACCTAATTTGACCTGAAAAAGCCCAACCTGAAAAGAACACGAAGAATCACTTCCATGTTCATTACATGGAATGAAGCACAAAAGAAACAAAGTAGCACAAAAGAAACACAAAGTTTTGATTTGGAACTTTTCCTCATTCTGCTTTAAAACAGCTTTCATGTGAAAGTAAAAAACCAAAAAGTGGCCAAGACAAAATATTCCTAACTTCAAAACTCAAATTACCTCCTATAGACCGGGATGGTTCATTAATCTTTGTTTCACAAGAGGAAAACAAAGTTCTGACATCTACAACCCAAAATGCTGGCAGGGATTGGCTGCTCAGCTGCTGAAGAGGTGAACTATGAAACAATGTTCTGCAAGAGTTCACAGCAGCCCCACTTGAAGAGGGACTTAAGCAGTAATTAAACAGCTGAGTAACCCCAAAACAGATGGGCAATGCCTTGTGTGTCACACTAAGAAAACCCTCCAGGGTCTGCCCTGATGAGACAAAGAAGGAGACAAATGAAAAGTGAAATTATTCTTTCCAGACATGATCTTTAAACCAAATAATTTATGAAAAGGAAAAGTGACTGTATTTCAGCTGAGGTACCTCTCCTTGAGCAGATGAAGTCAATCAATACTCACAGGTAATGATCAGGCTCAAACTTGGCAGCCTCAGCTTCCAGGCGTCTCCTCCTTCGCTCATCTGCAGGAGTATGGTCTGGATCCTTGATGTCAATCACATCACTGAGCTCATCCTGCAAAGGGAGCCAAAGTTATAGGACCAAGCCACATGTATGACATGCAAGACTGATTTAGTAATAATTTAGGAGGGGATCAGCATTACACTGAGATCTCCGGATCTTCAACCTCCCTTTCCCATCTTCCAAATTCTGCCTTCACTGTGCAAATGAAACATCCAAATTCCAAGGAAAGGCAATTATTTGAAGCCTCTTAGAATTCATGGTATTATCAAGTCTATTCAGGACATTTTATCCTAAGGCAGGGAGGTTATTTTGCATTATTGTAAAAGTTGAAATATTTAACAAAAGCACACAACCACAATGAAGACAAGATAAAAATCACAGATACTGTTCTTCTGACTCTCTCGCTCTCTGAAGTGGCTGTACATGAATTAATAGGCAGTTGCAGAGCCCTTTTAAACATCATTAAGCAGTGGTACTTTAATGCTGATGGGAAATGTATTTCTCCACAAGTAAACCAGTATGTATATTCTAACAGAATATAAATACTTTCTCAATAAATAGCAATCCTTCTGCTCCAAAACCTGAAAATACTACAATTCATGCAATAATTAGAGTTACATAATTAAGTTGCTTTAAACAGCTACAACTCAGTTGCTTAGAGCAAGAACACTACAAAAAATTATCATCTATTTTAATAACAGTGACTACAAGTATTGTTATACGACTCAGCATGCTACAGGTTTTAGATTAGTTTCAATCAATTCATGGCTAAAAGAAACTGCTGAAGGCACAAGAACAGAGTAACAGTATTTGAAGTCTCCTATCCTACCAATCAACCCACAAAAGCAAATTTAGATGCCTCAGCACAATGCTAGTGAAGCCCAGACACCAGGTGGACAGACACCTTGAAGAGTCCACTCTTCAGAAGTTGCCTTGTGAGCCAGAGAGCCTACACAGCCAGTTAAACAGGACTTTTATGACAGAAAAAGACAAAAATGCACCCACCTGCAGCCTCTGGAACACCCCTGACTGCAAATTCCCAAATCCATAAGGGTGCTGCAGTGGTGGAGTGCTTTCTGAACTTTCTTCATAAGGGGTCTGTTCTATTTCCCAGTCAAAGTCTTCTTCTTCCTCCTCCTCAGACAGCTCAGCAGAGGCAGCTGCATATATTGCATGGTCAGAGAAAGAAAATCAGTGCACAGAAAACATATATATGATTTCCTAGAAAGGCAAACACGGGTAGCACAAAAAGCCTTTCTCATTTTACTACATCTTTTAAGAAATCTTACACAACACTGGGGGGGTCATACAGGTCAGTGACCCCTAGGTCCTGCTTCCAACTCTTCCACTTTCAAAATGAAGACCAGGAATGCTAAATTTTTTAAGTGTACTCCCTCAAAGACTGAAATACTTGTTCCACTGATTTCAATAAGATCAGAATTTGATGTTAAGAGGACCCTGACGGAAGTGATGTTATCAATAATTTAAGACAGGTACTAAAAGTTTAAACAGAGACAGTCAAACATTTTTGTCTGTTAAATACTGATGTTAAGCAAGGTATCCATAGAACCTGGGGTTTTAATCAGCTGCTCATATGAGCTAAAAGTCCAGCTGTGGTAGTTTGTAGAAAGCAGAAGACTCCAATGTGTGTGTGCTCTACAGCCACTAGAGGGGTACAAAGATCTACAGAGAATTAGCATATTTTAAAGCACATTTTGGAAAAATTTTAACATAACTAAACCTATAAAGCTGGTATGTATATTGTCTACAACATACTCATTTCTACATTTATTCATACCCTTTTCACACCTAGGACTAGCCAGTAATAAATACTGTATTTTTCCACATATATCACCCTAGATCTAAAACTGTTTCATTATGTACATGTATCATTAGTATAAACACGATTTTTCTTGTCATACCTATCTCTTCTACTAAAGGCTTTGCTGATCTTGATTTCTTTGGTGCTAAAAGAGATGTCAGCATGTCCAGGCCCTCAAAATATTGGCCAGGAACCTCCTTGGGTAACCGGATTGTAAAAGTTCCTTCAAAGAAAGTCAGAACGTAGTTAGTGCATTAAAATATCCAAGACAAACAAAAATGTGCATTTTTCCTCTCATCAAAAAGGCTCAGAGGAATTGGGACACGTACTGGTAGCATTTCATTATGCATCCATCTCTGTGCATGTTTTTGACCTTATTTCACAAAACTCAAAGATTTTAATGATAAAAACATCAAAGAGAATATTTAACCAGCTGTGGTCTCCTGACTCACATTGTATAAACACAAACCAACAGAAGAATACAAGCTTTGTTTTATTTTTAATCCTTCCACTAAACAAGTTACAAAAGATCATAAGAAACTCCTTCAGCAATCTGATTGTCTTAAGTCAAGCATGTAATAAACACTCTGCAAGCAACAAATTTATAGGCTTTATTGCTTTTTTGTTTTCAAGCATAAATTACTGGAGTTAGCAGCATTTTTAATGACATATATACCAATAACATGAACCAATACCTTCGTCTGTATTATAGGATGCTTTTTCTCTGCCATCTTCTACAATTCTCCCAGGAAGTGTCAATCTGTGGGCAAAAAAATGAGATGCAGAATTAGTCAGGCTTTCAGTGAGGCAACTTAACATCTCAGCCTATAAAAATGTAAGGCACATTCCAAAAGCAGCACAAAGGATTAGACTACGTGACTCCTTTTGATAGTAATGGAAGCCACGCAGTGAAATCCCCCTGGATTCTTCCCAGGAAAAAACACACTTGTTCTACAAAACCTACAGCCAGAGAACTGTCTGGCCATCTTACACATAAAAATATATTGTAAGTTAAATTTAGAAAAGTTTCTTTCAACTCTCTTTAATGTGATTTAATGCCTAAGAACAAAGAGGTCAGATCCAAAATAACAGATCTTTGCATGAAGTGGGCTGTCTGCAGCCAACCTTGTAAAAGCTGCAGATGAGGAATGTTCTGGAGGGACCAAAATTAAGTTCAATCTCTACTATGAAGTTCAAATTTTATAAGTTTTGCCACTACTTGCCTGAGAAAGTATGGCTTAGCATAAAATTTAAAGTCTTCCCCTTCAAAATAAACATCAAACTCTGAAGCTCTGGCATAAGGTACTCTGATTATTATTGTGAGAAAATCTGGATCCTGGGTCAGTTCAAAAGCTGGAGTTATCATGATGGATCCAGCAGGAAAAGGAATGACTGTGTAGCCCTATAAAAATAAGAAAAAGATTATTGTAGTTTCCAGTTTATGAGAGCAAATCGTGTCTCTTCAGAATTTGTTAAGAAGGACATTTCAGACTCTCACAAAATGATCTTCCACATGCTCAAGAAGAAAACACTCATGACAACATCAAAGTGTTATCCAGAATGTGAAGGTACCACCTCTGCACCTTAATGAACACCTGAATGTTAATATTTGCAAACAGGAAAGCACCTGTTATGTTCCACATAAAAAACCACACTGAATTCGACCTTAAAACTTTTTAACTTTCTGTAACTGTTATTTATAATCTCACATATAGACCTTTACAGTTCTTCAGTGAACTGATCACAAACCACTATTAGAAAACACTGAAAAAGAGTAAAACTTGCAAAAAAAAAAAAATAGAGCTGTATTTTATAGTTCACACACACATTGGCCAGAAAATGAGCAACAGATGCAAGGTCAGTTTAGATGAACATCCATCAGAACCATATTTGTGTGTACACACTAGCACGAGTACATATTTAGCATAAGAGAAGGAATTTACATAGTACTATTCAGCCAATATACAACTTGTCTGACTCTTCAATAGCTTCTAAATAATACAAGATAATTCGTCAGGTTTAATTTAGAATCCATTTGTGGACTGGAGTTTTGTTTGTTTGGGGAGGGCATGTTTACAAATGGCCACACAGTTTTGAAAACTAACTTTGTAAAACAAAAATATTTTAGCCAAAAAAATGCAGAATAGAAGTAAACTGTGAAACTGAGTGAAAAGTAGCACTTTCCCAGATAAATGTTTGTTAAATATATCCCCTTTGTGACAATTTCACAAACAGACAGCAACCATTAACCATTAACAGGGCTAAATTAACAGACTACCTTCATATGGGTAATCTACCTCATTTGGTACACGTGAAAAAAATTAAACTCCCCATTGCACCGTACTACTTAATTCAAGGGCAACATTCCCACCCTTTCCAGGCTGAAAAGTTGCCAGGTGTTTATATAAAGTCGTGCCTGGACAGGGAACACCTGCAAACTAAAAAGTACAGCGCTATGGGCTTTCTTCTTGTCTACTTCAACACCGCAAACTGGGATACAAAAATCCAGCCGCTCGTTTAGACCCCTCAGGGGGTGTCAGTCCGCAAGTTTTATTTCCTTAAGTCAGAGTTTCATCTGTTAAGCGCAGTCCCAAAGCCAGGCCCAGCCGTCCCCGCGCTGCTGCCGCACTTGGAGCATCCCCGACCCAAAGTAACGACCCCAAACCCCTCCGGAGGCTGCCACGCAACCCCCCCGGTATCTCACGGCTGAGGAACGGCGATAACACGCCGCTGAAGCCGCACGTATCCCGAATAACCCCGCTTTCCAGCCCTTCCCGAGCAAACACCGCTGCGCTCCAGGGAAAGGTGCGGGGTGGTGGGGGGGGGTCCGGTAAAACACAACCTCCCACCGCTGGCTCACACCGGGCCGAGGGCCCACCTGCGCCCGTAACCCCCCGGGGCCACCCTCCAGAGGGACAGAGCCTTCTGAGGAGGCGGCTCCCAGCGGGAAAAGCCACGGGATAAGGGGATGAGGAAGGGACGATGAGCCCCATCCGCGCCCGCCCGCGCCGCCACTCACCGCCCGCGCCGCTTCCCGCGCCCGCCCGCACCGGGGGCGGGGCCGCGCAGGCGCAGACGGGGCGCGCCCCGCCCCCGTCATGGCGGCCCCTGCGGCCGCCCTCACAGAGCGCCGTGCCCGGGCAGCCTGGGCACAGCCGGCTGCTTGTCTGTACCCCTACTGGTTTTCGCGAAATACACAGGAATTCAGACATCACCTTTAAATTCGTGTCGCTCTTAAAAATCTGATGGAGTTGCGCCATGTTTCCCGGAGTTATTAGAGAGGAAATGGTTAACAGTTAGTGTGGATATGGTCAGTGTAACTGTGTAAAACCTAAGTTGTTCAGGCTAAAAATCAGAATCCGCCCCCTTGAGAAATAGGAAGGATGGATTCTTACCTGCAGTTGCATAAAATATATTGCACACGCTCTGTGTGTTTTATTTCAGCTGCTTTTCATAAGTGGAAATTGAACAGTTTTTAGTGTGTCAGAGAGCTGGTTTGTTCTTTCCTGTGAAACCAGTGGTTACTCCAGGACTAACCCATGTGAGCAAATGTCCTGTTATTTCTGTTGTGTTCACACTTTGCTGCAGGGGAGGTAGATCAGTAAACTGAGGATTGACCCCGTGAGCGATGTCGGAATAGGAATTCCCAATTACATCTCTTCTCAGCCATTGGATAAATGCAGAACCACACTGACAGTATGAAAAGAGGAAGATCCTGATGAATTACAACACAGCATTAAGAAGAAAATGCAACAAGAAGCTCAAAAAATTGCCAAAAGCAGAAAAGTTGGTTTAAAGGCCGTAATTTATTAAATATAGCACCTAGTGTAGAATTAGTCTGATTTTCCTGCCTTTAGACCATGAGAGGTATTCTGGTTCTTTACATCTTTAAATACTGTTGACTATCTTCCTCTTGCTGCCCCCTCTGAGATGCATTCAGACATTTTTCCTGGAGGGAGAAAGCATAATTATGTAACTTCTGCTAATAAATTTTTCTTTAAAAAAAAAAAGTAGACAAACAATCCCCCAGGCTGGAAATCCACTGAATATGACATCTCTTCATGGGGAAACTTCTTCGTTCTTGTGCAGAACTGAACCAGCAGTTTAAATACTGCACAAAAATCAAATTATTTGCTTCAAAATAGATCATTCTCCCCACCGATCTAAAACTGATGTATGGTTTTAATATTCTGCTTAAAATTCCTTGTGTCCCTCTTTTTCTCCTGCAGAAATTGAAGATGCATGGCATATAAAATGCATTTTCTGTTATAATAAGAAATTAATGACATCTAATTTCAGATGCTGATTTGACTTGGACCAAGGCCTCGATCATGTCCTTAGAAACTTTTGATGCATTTCCAGAGGAATTCTGCACTAATTAACTTTTGGACCTTACCAATGTAATCTATAATAAGAATATTGGACAGGAAGCTGGATTATGAACCAGTAGGCACCGTCTTCTCTGCATAAATTCAAATTTGCAGGACAAGTCCATAAAAGATAAGAAGTTTCATTAGAGAGTTTAGTCTTGTCTAACTGACACTTTCCAGTACTGCCTCACTATTATTTTTTTAGAGTCTAAGAACTCCCAGCCCTTTTTTTCTGGTAATAGTTGCCTTGTGAAAAAACTATTTATATGCTGATTTCAGTGAAGAAGTTGGTGCCTCAGCCATTCTGCTTTTCCATCCAAGTAAAGTATGAAGGAACATCTCTAAGGAATGTTTATTGCTTTCTTCTGTAAAAAAAAGCATACTGAATTTTTTAGAACTGTAATAGAAAGTTTTATTTGGAAATGTACAAAGACCACTTTACATCTCTTGGTGCATCTCTCTGATGAAGAAGTTAATTTGGCTGCTATATGTTTAATGCAGCACTGAAGAATGAAAAACATTCTCTACAGTGTTTTGGGGAAGTAATTAGGAAAACTTGCTGTTCCTTTGAAAAATAGAAACATGAAGCTTTGCAATTTGTGAGCACATTTGACTCTACGTGGCTAATAATAACAAGTAAATCTGGCATAATCTCACAGATATGATACATAATGTATTCTGGATATATAATTGGCACGTACATACAAATGGTAATCAGATACAGAGTATGCATTTAGTTGAACAAGTAAAACAAAGAATAAAATGGTTTCTGTATGTAGGAAACAAATGGAAATAAATTAGACATAGGTTTCAATCAGAAACACATTTCTCTGTGAAATACACTATAAAATAGAATACAACACACAGCTATTTCCATTGTTTAAATTATCAGTGTAATAATTTCTATAAACAATTAGAAGTAGTTCTGTAGTTGTTAGACTTACACTTGGCAATAATTTGGTATAAATTAACAATGTAAACAATAATTGAGGGCTTTTTGTGTGATGGAAATAGCAGATATCATTGCACACTTGAGCAAAATTCATATTGTTCTTCCCTTTAACTTTGAAAACAAGTGAAACCCAAATATTTTTGCTTCTTTTGTCTAAGTGGCCTGAAGCATTCCTCCAAATCTAATGCATTTTAATCTGAATTTCCTTTCCCCATAGATTTGATTTTCCAGGAGTTCATAATCCTTGACTGTTTCACTTACAGAAGTACTGTGGCCACAATATCAGGATATCTCCATAGCTTTATTTTTGCTCTTTCCTCTTGCAGTTTCCATTATCCAAAGATAATGAAGCTGCTCATTCTATTTCTCCAGAGAAGGATCCTGGATCACAAAGACCTTCTGTGCTGTCTCAGATAAGCATAAGAACCTGGGTCTCTGGAGACAAGGTGATGGTCTTCATAAATCCAGGGTCAAACTTGCAAATCTTTACAAGGATAAAGTGGTAACAGCCAGGAGTGTACATTTGTAATGTGTTTCTTGGTGTTACATTTTGTACCATTACCTGCCAGACACATCTCCAACACCCTTTCAAGTAGGTGTGTGTGAAGTTTGAGTGTGAGAGATCAAGTTGGAGATTGGCTTCTTAGTGATGGAAGGACATAAACTGTAATTCCAGTAACAGAGGCCCAAATGAACCTCTGTGAGACCCTGACCTGCCACTGATTGCAGGAGAGTTCTCGGGTCAATGGCCCAGGAGGAACCCAGAGGCACATCAGGTATGGCATGGATTTGGGCCAAATATGGGGGCTTTTCATGCTGAAGCAACTTTCAGGTTCTTTAACAGCTCTCCAGGGATCTGCTGTGGCTCTTATGTTAAAAGCCCTTGGAGTTGTTCAACTTTTACTCCAGGAGCAGCATGTAAACATCTTTGTTTGCTAGTCTGGGTTTTTGGATCAGATGTAGGACAGTGAATTTTTGAAATTTATTACTCCCTAGATAGCATGTGGTATGATTTTCTTTCTGTGACTGATCTGCAGAGGGTGCAGATCTTACATCCCTGTTCCTGGGAACCTGGCTCTTTTCTCCCAGCCATTTACTCTTGCATTTACAGGGTTGCCTGACTTTTTGGCTGCTCCAGAGAATAGGTCTTCTTATACAACTTTAGAAACAGTAGCCCAAAACATATAAAATTACTGAGAGGGCTTAATTTTTAAGATTTTCTCAAAATATAACTGTGATTTAAATCAGTGCTTTACAGAGCTACACTAAAAAGAAGTACATTATAACACAGGCCTTTGAATGATTAACCTCTTAATATATTTGATGTGTGTCTGCAATACAAAACACACTCAACACACTTGGTATTAATACATTTGTTCAAGTGTAAAATATGTGGCTTCCTATTTTTTTATTGTTATAGATCCAAGCCATCACTCTGACTGATCACAGCCCCTGTCACATATCAAGGCTGCACGTTGTGGCCAGTCTGTTGCTTTACTGCCAAAACTGAACATCAGAGAGTGCAGCAGGTTCAGCAACATTGATTTAAGGGTGCACTGTAATTCTGTTCCAGCCCAGCCATGGAACTCATTTTGGGTGAGCATGCAGCTGGCAGCACTGGAAAGTTGATATTTGCACATCTTAATTTGGAAAAAAAATGGTGCAAGTAGGCAGGTGAGTGTTGGCACTGCAGTGGGTCATGGAAACAAGATGAAAGTGTCTAATAATCCTTAGAATGTTTTCCAGATTTCTAATGTTTGCCTTGGATTTGTATGCAGACATTGCTCACACATCTCCTAGGGAAGAAAAGAGATTGTGTTGATAGTATAACATCACACATTTGAACAGCTTGAGGATTTCAGGGGCTTGCTACTGGTACTCAGTTTTTTTACTAAGTATGGAGTTTGGTAGGGTTTTATTATAGTCCATATATTCTCAGGAAAGAGCATATGTTTATGCACTGTGGTTTTTCTGTAGTTTCTCATTTAGTATTGCTATTTTCCCTTAGGATGAAGTAATTTATATTTTTATATCTGGCCAGAAACCGAGCTGGATGAAATTCTGAAACAGTAGTTGTTCATTGCATTTGCACTAAGGTAAAGTACATTTTGGGGTACCACTGGTGAAGGCATGTGGTGACAGCAGTGTAAAATGGACAAGCTGCAGAGTTTCTCTACCAAGTGAATGCCATTTAAGTAGTGAAGGCCAAGCACAACCAAGTTCACTTCCAGTGCTGACTCTGTGAGGGACTTGTGAGGCTCCACTTTTCCTTCTCTCCCCATTGCAGTGCTGGCATCTCCATTCCGTGCAAAGTTTATTCTCCAGCTCCATGGGGCAACAAGAATCCTTGCATTTCTGTCAATCTTTTCATTTAAAGGTCATAAATCAGATTATGAACCCAAGTAGGATTTATTTCCATGAAATTCACAGTGTTGTAATCTCTGATGATGTTGCACAGAAGACCAGCTAAGGTGGGTCACACGGGGACAAGTCCAAAGCTGCACAGAAGGGAGTGAATGTTTTGTTCCTTCACTGTCCTACAAGTATTGCAGTTTATTGCCATACAACCTGCCTTCGTAGCAGGTGGGATGAGAACAGCGCGTATGAGGTGATAAACTGGGGCTGCAGGGCGGAGGGAAGCTCAGCACCAGTTTGATGTTCGCACAGACAGACGAGAGGCGCTTCAGAGCCCACTTCCCTCTCTCCCCTCTCCCTCCTGCTCACCTTGCTGTGCACACTGACCCCTTCCAGCACCGCGCACCTGCACAGGCGTGAAATCAGAGGTACCTCGGAGTACCAGCAGTTATTAATCAATAATAAGCTTTATTGGTCTTGTTGCTGACAAGTGCCGAGACTTTCCCGAGGTGCGGCGGCTACTCCAGACACTACGGTAGGACAGTACGGTAGCGGCCCCGCCCCTCCGGGCCGGGCTGGGCGGCCACGTCCCCGCTCGGGCCGGGCTGGGGCGGCGGGACCGGCGGGGGGACCGGGCCATGCGGCCGCGCTGACCGGCCATGCGGCGGCCCTGCAAGGTGGCGGCGGCCCTGCTGTGCCTCGCCGTGCTGCTGCTGCTGTATCTGCTGGCGGGCAGCGCGGCCCCGCCGCCCGCGCCCTCCGCGCCCGCCCGCCGCCCGCCGCGCCTCGGCCGGAGCCCCCC